AAATCAGAGGCCTCGTTTTAGTTTTTTTTTTTTAAAACAGAAGAAGAAGAAGTGAGTGGTGGATACTTTAGTAATAATGTATTGTTTTGATTTTAAGGGTAATTTCGTCCGAAAATTTTCTCACACAATCACCCAAAAGGATGTTTCATATTAAGGGTAATTTTGTTAAAATAAAAAATTTCTCACACAATCACTCTAACAAATATTAGTTAAAATGACACCTTCATGATAGTTGAGAGGGGTTAATTGCTAAAAATATTTATAATGAGAGTTTTTTTGTAAACGAGTAAAAATTTGAGGGGAATTTTTACAATTCGCCCTACAAAAAAATTATAATAAAATCCAAGTCAACAGCTCTCTTGTTCGGTTCTAAATTTAATGATGAATAACAATCTTTTTGTCATGATAAAATGAACCCGGACAAATCCTCAGTGTTTCGGTGAAAGTTTCGGATGGCCAAAAAAAACTATTTGAGGCATATATATATATATATATATATTAAACATGTGAACTAAATATCAAGATTGACTTGAAAAGCACACTCAATCCCAGAACAATGAACTAGTAGTAAACTAAATATCAAGATTGACTTGAAAGGCACACTCATTCCTAGAACAATTAACTAGTAGTAAAAAAGGTAAAGTACAGTTACAGCCTTTGAGGTTTAACAAAAGGACACTCAAAGAAAATTTAATTATTTTTTTTTTTGACAAAGACACCCCTTAAAGGTTCAAAAATGAACAAATACACCCCTTTATATGAAAAATTGACCAAATTACCTTTTAATCGTTTGAGAGACTTTTTTAACTTTACAATTTAATAAATTGGATCAATCTACCCTCATGAATAATTTATGCATAAAAAAATAAAAAAACAAACTTTATATTGTTCACTTTTTTTTTTTTTTTTGGTTATTTCCTTTATAAATGTCCCAACTTCTTAAAAATGTAGACGTCTAAAATAATTTTTTGATTCAATACATATATTTCAAATAAATTATATTTTGTTATTACTTCTTTTCTTTTTCTTTTTTATCAAAAAATCATTTTAGACGTCTACATTTTTAAGAAGTTGGGACATTTGAAAAAAAAAAAAAAAAAAAAAAAAAAAATGAACAATATAAAGTTTTTTTGTTTTTTTTTTTTACTTTTTTTTTTATGCATAAATTGTTCATGAGGGTAGATTAGTCCAATTTATTAAATTGTAAAGTTAAAAAAATCTCCTAAACTGTCAAAAGGTAATTTGGTCAAATTATAAATAGGTGTCTTTGTCCATTTTTGAACCTTCAGGGGGTGTCTTTATCTAAAAAAAGATAAGTTCCCTCTGAGTATTCTTTTACCAAATCTCAAGGGGTGTGACTGTACTTTACCCTAGGTAAAAACAAAAGCTTAAAAAATTAAGTTCCGAAAAGCCATTCTCAATTTTGGGCCACAGTACTAAATGGTTTGTCTACCCTTTGAATTTTCTTTACTTGAATTTTTTGAGTCTTCTTTTGATTGACTTTTGAAAGTGACATGCTCACGTTCTCCACAGCTTCCAGAAAAAATAGCAAAAATGGTTCACCAATTGAATTGAGAAATGCAACACCAATCCCATATTCCCAGTGGCTTCCAGGAATATATATAATAGCATTCACAGGACTAACAACTACAACCCAAGATCTTGCTTTGCCCACAAAGGGAAAAAAGAAAAAGAAAAAAGAAAAAATAAATGTCGATTTGCGTGGATTACTACTATCCAATGTTGGAAAGGCACCTCCTGTCTTGCAGCAACTACAGTTATATAAGCGCATCCTGCTGCTCCGTGATGATCAAGGAGAAGGAAGAGGAACATCGAGTGGAATCACCAATGCCGTGGATCGGCATCTACGCTGCAGCAGCATCTCTAGTCTGCTCCCTTGCAATGGTTGCTGACATCTTCCACGGGTTTCGCCACAGAAAACTGTGGTTTCCATGCAAATTTTTCACTCTCAATGCTGCTTCGTTGACATTACTAGCTGTATCAATGAAGCTGCCAGTGGATCTGAGTACCACTATGCCAGGCGAGTTGGATCAGCTGGCCAAACTTACCAGCACCACCCTGATGTCTACAGTGATAGGTAATTTTATGCCATCCATAGGAGCTATGGATGACACAGAAATTTTCATGAACATAACAGCCTTGACTATTCTCGTGATCACTGTTTTTGTTAATATTTGCATCCAATTAAATACTCAACTAATAAATCCTTCATTCGAGATAGAACACATTGCAGCTATATCTTTCATGCTTGTTTTGCTTGTACTGTTGAGTTTCTCAGCTTTGACGGTTTCCACCACTAAAAAGTGTCTGCAACTGAAGTATGATGATATACACAAAACAATTTCGAGTGAAGAACCACAAGAAACCGAAAAGTTCACAATTGAAAAATTGAAAGTAAATGTTAAAAAATATGGGATGATAGCAAAATCTAGTAGCCCTCAGTTTGTTGTGGCTCGTTCAGTTACCTGTTATGCTTCGGGGACAATTTGTTTCTTGGCTGCATTCACTTTGGCAGAAGCACACCTCAGAATATTTATTCGCGACGATCACTACTATATTAATCCAAGCAACGTTAGATCAAATTATAGGTGGTCAGCCTTTGTCGTTCTTGTGATTCAATCTTTTGGTGTCGTAGGAGGTACAATTGCCCCGACATTTAGATGGTTCACCGCCATAAGCTTAAGGTGCAAAGAGGAAAGAGTGAAGAGCTACAAAACTGAGTTGAAAACAGAAAATTATTGGATCGAAAGGCTACTAGAGTGGAAAGAGAGCCCTTTAGCTTTACGAGTCGGGAGCCAAAAATTCAGAAAACTTGTTCACAACACAAAAAATCTAATTCTGGACTTCTGTATAGCAGTCCAGGTTGTGATTGTCTTGGCTAGCAAATTAGTTGTGATCGTCTTGGCTAGCATATTATTTGTGCTTATCTATTTGATCTTAATAAGCCCATTCATGTTATTTTGGAACCTGTACAATGAGTTTATTGAGAAGATCATATCTAAACATACTGTCTCAAGCAATCACACGAGATCATAATCAGGGCCTGTTACAGAGCTAGACCTCAGTCCTTATGTTTTGTATCTCGAAGGTGAGGAGGAACTGCCTTTACAGATTATGAAGAACAATAGGGATGCTACCAATCATTTTATTCAGAAGGGTAAAAAGCGGCAGCCAAAATATTTGAAAGAGCTTTTAAATCAATCTACAACGTTCACTGGGGTGACAAAGTTTGACAGTCACCAAGTTCCATCTCTGGCTTTTGAAGAACCTTCCAATTGTTGGTCTCTTCCTGTGGTTACTCTTACAAGTATAGCCATTGCACTTCCAAACATTGAAAAACACAAGGCGAAGTGGTTGCTCGGAAGTGTGAGTGAAGGCCTCTTGTATGCCAACCTTGTAGAGAAATTCTTGAATGCCAAAAGTGATATGGTAAGCATCAGAAATGCAGCAGACACAGTGTGGTTAGGAGTTGATCTTTTTCACAGGTGGCTAGATGAAGATCTCCAGAAAATCTCTCTTGAAGGAAACAACTCAACGGAGACTCTTGAGAAACTTGCTGACATAGCTAAAAACAGTGTCATCGAGTTCAAGGCAAACACGAATGGAGATCGGAAGGAGAACCCTCAAAATTGGCCCATCAAGGTTATTGCTGCAAATTCAATGTACAGAATTAGCCGAACCGTGCTAGAGAACCACCGAGGCAGCAATGACCAGACTGATGAGACACTGTTCGAGCAATTATGTATTATGATTGCGGATATATTGGGTGCTTGTCTCACCAACTTACCGCGTGTCATAATTATGAAATGTTTTTGCAGTGCCATAGAAGAGAGGGAGAAGAGTGTCCAACATGCTGCTCAACTTCTAGGTGAAACTGAAGAGATTTTGAAAATCCTTCAACAGCGCGAGCTTCCCAATTTGAACCCTGATAAAGTGGCTTATATTGATGAGTGGCGCGCATTAATCAAGCAAGAAAATCTCCTGGCTTTCACTACTTTAATCAATGATGGAACATCTTCTTCTGGCTCTGGTGAATTGCATATAGCTATTGAATAGAAGGCATACTTGAGAAAAAACTGGCATATTATAATATGAATTCTCAGTTTCGATTTTGTAAAAGCCTTATGATATATATATGTAGTATTATATGGGAAACAGTGTTTAGATATCATTTGAATTTGCTGCATCATCATATAACAACTATTGAATTTATGCATTTTTTTTTCCCAAAGGAAGAGGCATATATGTATATCCGACTGTAGCAGTCCTGAATGTTTGAACATTAGCATTCAAGTCATAGGAACAAAATGATGGAATTAATCGTATCACAGAAAGCGACATACCCTCGAAATAATTGAAATAAGACCTAGATACAAATAAACCAAGGAAGCTTATCGTCTAATAATATAACTAATTCAGAGATATGTTTTCTGCAGATTCAATAATTTAGAAAGTAAATGATTAGATATATATATATATAAAGGATTTATTTGTCTTCTATTAAGAAAAGTAGGACTTAGAAGTAATTTTCCCATACAAAATTGACAATAATTGGGGGTCAGTGTTGATCAGAAAAACATATTTTCCTTTCATATCAACACTACAACTTTTACAAAGCAAAAAAAGGAGGGGGAGGGTTGTCTGCTAAATAATTGATCAAATACAGTACTCATATATATACATCCAGATGAGACAAGTCATAGTGGAAGACTCCTTTGCTTGACTCATGAATGTGACAGTCATGGCAGAAATTGTTCATCCAGTAATTAGAATTTTGGTCTACGTCTGCTTGACTCATGAATGTGACCCTCATAACAGAAATTGTTCATCACAAATAGCAGAATCAACAACTACACCGAGGCTCTTTGCATTTCATCCAAAGAAAATAATTGTCAAAAATCAAAAACCAGGAGAGGAAGAACATGTTGTCCTGCAGCTGGACACAACCCTACTATTACGAAGAACTAGCCAAAGCACCGATGGTATGGGTCGGGGTCTATGTTGCAGTAGCATCTTTAGTCTGCTCCATAGCTATGGCTGCGGACGCCTTCCATGGGTTCCGCCACAAAAAACTGTGGTTTCCATGCAAATTTTTCTCTCTCAATGCTGCTTCTCTGACAATATTAGCTGTAGCAATGAAACTGCCTGTGGATCTAAGCACAAACATGCCACGCAAAAAGGATCAGCTGGCAAAACTCAGCAGCACCGCCTTGATGTCTACAGCAATAGGTAATTTTATGCCATCTTTAGGAACCATGGATGACACAGAAATCCTAATGAACATGACAGCCTTGGCTATTCTGGTAACCACCATCCTTGCAAATGTCTGCATCCAATTAGGCACTGGCCTAATAAATAGAAATCTTATTGTAGAACATATTGCAGTTATGTTTTTCATGTTTGTTTTGCTTGTCATATTGAGTTTCTCAGCCTTGACAGTTTCAACCACTAAAAAACATTTACAGCTGAAGTATAGTGATTTACATAAAATCACTTCAACTGAAGAATCAGTGGGAATTGGAATGGCCACCACCCAAAAACTAAAAGATTATGTGAAAAAGTATTGGATGATGGCTGAAACAGGTAGCCCTCAATTTGTGATGGCGCGTTCTGTGAACTGCTCTGCTTTAGGGGCAATATGTTCTCTGACTACTGTCATTTTATTAGAAGCGGAGCTGAGGACGTACTTTACAGACAGATGTTTTTACAGCGTTCCCTACGAACAATTTTATGATCAGTATGTTATGACTCTCGATTCCGATTATAAGTGGTCAGTTTTGTTCATTCTTGTGATTCAGACTATCGGGGTGGTAGTAGGTACAACTGGGCCAGTTTTTAGATGGTTCATTGCCACAATATTCAAGTGCTCAGTAAAAAAAGGCAAGAGCAGCAAAACTGAGTGGAAGACGGAGTATTACTGGATCAGAACGCTGGTAGGGTGGCGAGAGAGACCCTTGGCTTTACGCTTCCGGAGCCAAAATTGCAGAAAACTTGTTCACAGCACAAAGAATCGAATTCTGAACTTCTGTATTGGAGTTCAGATTGTGATCGTCACGGCTAGCAAATTAGTTTTGCTCATCTCCAGTTTCCTACTAAGCCCGTTGTTGTCATGTTTCCACTGCTGCAAGGTCTTAAAGCAGAAGCTCCTGTCTAAATCTAATGCCTCAAGCAATCACACAGGATCAGAATTGGAACCTGGTACCCAACTGGATCTTAGCCGTTTTGTTCTGTATCTTGACGGTGAGGCGGAACTGCCCCCACAGATCATGAACAACATCAGTAATGCTACAGATCATTTGATTCAGATAGGTAAAAAGCAGCAGCCTAAATATCTTAAAGAGCTTTTAGGGAAATCTACTGGTTTCGAAGGAGTGGCAAAGTTTGATGTTGACCAAATTCCATCTCTGAATTTTAAAGAACCACCCAACTCTTGGACTCTGCCTTTGGTTACACTAACAAGCATCGCCATTGCACTTCCTAACATTGAAAATCAGAAGATGAAGCAGTTGCACAGAAGCATAAGTGAAGGCCTCTTGTATGTCAGCCTTGTAGAAAAAATCCTTGATTCCAAAGCTGACTTGGTAAACATTAGAAAGAAAGCAGAGAGAGTGTGGGAAGGAGTTGATCTCTTCCGCAAGTGGCTTGATAAAGATCTTCGAAATATCGCTGTTGAAGGAAAAACCTCAAAGAAGACTCTGGAGACACTAGTTAACATAGCTAAAACTATTGTCATGGAATATAAGGCAGGGATGAATGGGCAGGAGAACCCATTGAACTGGCCCATGGAGGTTATTGCTGCTAATTCAATGTACAGAATCAGCCAAACTTTGCTGCTAGACCATGAAGGCAGCGAATACCAGATGGATCATGAAACACTGTTTGAGCAATTATCTGTTATGGTCGCGGATATATTGGGTGCTTGTCTTACCAACTTACCGCATGTTATAACTACGGAATGCTATTGCAGTGCCATAGAAGAGAGGGAGAAAAGTGTCAAACATGCAGCTCGTCTTCTTGGTGAAACTGAAGAGATTCTCGATATCCTTCAACAGCGTGAACTCCCTAGTCTGAATCCTGATCAAGCGGCTAATATCAATGAGTGGCGTGCTTCGATGAAGAAAGAAGATCCCTTGGCCTTTACTTCTTCATCCAACAATGGTGCATCTTCTTTTGGTTCTAGTAAGTCTATTGAGTAGGAGATCGGCATGATAAAATACAGACACATAATGCTATCACTGTCGGGTGTGTACTCATCTGTGAGTTTTCTATATTTAAATATTGTATGAACTCTCTGCATTTGAATGTGATCTTGAGCAGGTAGATTTATTCTATTCATATACAACACATTCATTGTTTGTTTAGATAGCATTTGAATTTGCTGGATTCACAGGTAGCCCTTTTTCTTATGGTGCTAATGTAGATTTATGCTATTCATAAACAGCACATTCATTGTTTTTTGAGATATCATAGGTAGCACTTTTCATGAATGCCAATCAAAATTTAGAAATCCTGAGCATGTAACCCTGAAAATCTTTAAAGCCAAATTTACCTCCATTTTAGTTCTACACTTGAGTTGTGGGGGAAGGAAAAATATGGGAATATGTATGATTATCGATCAGACAGAAGAAATCCCTTAATTGTTCCAAGCACTAAAAATGAATTACAATATGTAGCATGACACTCTTGCCAAACACAGTGAGTATTGTGAAAACTTGCAATAGAACCCCACCCTATTGGCTTACAAAGTTAAAAAGTGTGAGAGTGTCAATTGATCAGGAAAAGAATGAATTCCAAAAGGAGAAAATCCAAAGAGGAATGAATTGATAGCGATCAAACAAGACAATTTACTAGGGGTGGGCAAATAATCCGCGAATCCGATCCGATTCAATCCATGCTGATCGGATTGCTACACCCACGGCTCGGTGTTAAAAATATAAAATTGACAATCAAGGGGCAATTTACTCCAAATGTTAAAAATATAGAGATTTATGTGCACTTAAAATTCAATAGGGGTGTTTCTTGCACATTTTTTGTCTAACGAGGGGATTTTTTGCCCTTTACCTTTAAAAAATAAATATTTTTTGAAATATTTTTGAATTTTCAACATCTAATGATAAGTAATGTTCCTGTCACTTAAAAATTTAAGTGGCGCTTACCGTTTTCAAATTGCGAATAAGTCCTTAATCTGTTCATAATTAACTAATTAAGCATTGAATTGAGTTATCAAACAGCACCTTAGACTAGAATGATAATATTTGTTAGGAGTAAGTTATGATATTTTACTCAACACGAATCTAACAATTTATAAGTCATGACCCAGAAGTGAGTGTTTGGTACTCTTAATAAGGGGCACTTCTGGAGGTTTAACTAGAGGAATCCGAGTCTAACCCAAAAATTTGACAGTTTTTGGCAAAGATGACATGCCCTTAAACTAAACAGATGATTGAATACAATAACTAAATTGACCCAAAAACAGGACATGCATGCAAACAGAGCAGATTTATAGAAACAAAGGCAAATTAACCAAAATCAAAACCAACTGCATGAGAACTTCCCATTAATCTGGTTTTAGATAATGTTGGCCAATTTGCATATATTTTGTAATTTGATACATAAAAATAAAAGTTATCATTTAGTAAAATGACATTTAGAGACTGTATTTACGACAAAAAATTAATTGAACCTAAAAAGTGCAAATAACAAGAATGTAACATTTAGGTACAATTATAAATTGAATGAGTATCATATACATGATTTTAGGAGAACTTGAACTTCAGAGGTACAATTAACGAGGTTCACAATTTATAAAATAATGGAAATAATAATAACAAACTAAAATGAAAGAACACAAAAATAGACATATATATATATATATATATATATATATATATATATATATATATATATTTTCGGAAGTACAAAAATAGAAATATTTGATAAAGGTAAGAAATTGACCTTTAAGATTGAGACGTGCACTGTCCTAAAATTCAAACTTCCTTCCCATGTGTAGGTAATGGGGGGAGTACCGACTCCAAAATACAAACCAAGTGCTCGCAGGCTCCTCTCTTTGAGATGGAAGTTCCGACTCCGAAGTCCAAAATACACCCAGTGGTTGTAGGCCATGTCCTCTCTTCAGCACATTCAGACTTCTCATTGGTCATAACTCATAAACACATGAAATAACAGCAGATAAATGGATATGTACACACATATATATAGAATACAAAGTTGCTAGGGAAGTATATAAACTTTAGTCCTCTGAAAGATGGTGGAGGCTTTATATATGAAGTATTCATGTGTAACTAAAAAGGCTAACTCACTACACCAGACTCTCATGGCTGCAGAGTTTGGATTGATAGATGTACGCAGCCTAATATCCGCATGCGATTTTATGGTTGAACAAATATCCGCCTTAAATACAATTTAAATAGTGAAAAAAATAGTCACAATAAATCACCATAAATATAATATAATTGAATTAGATTTTTATTAAAAAATTCCCAACAGATAGCACCCTTACTTTTAACTTTGATGTGAGCTATATGCATTACCATGACACCATGATCACTCTTTTTCTTTTCTTTTTTCTTTTTTAAGTTGGCAAGCATCAGAAAAGTATTTTTTCTCCCTATCAACACAAACTTTTAAAAAGACAAGGGGTCCTCTTTGATTTTTCATTAGTCTTCCTCTCATTGACTCATGAGTGTGAAATGCTCACATTCCCAATAGCTTTGTGGAAAAATAGCAGAAATCGTTCATACCTTTAATATTCCTTCTCAGAACCTTCACAATCAAAAAACTCTAATTGACTTGAAAAATGCAAAACCAATTGCATTCCGGGTGGCTTCAAGGAAAAATGGTAGAAACAGTTAATCCACGACACTTAGTTCGGTTTATAAATAGCAGTATCAGCACAATCAACAACTACAACCCGATCTCTAGCCTTCTCAGAAAGAAGAACATCAACACGCCTTTCGTGCCCTATGAAATTAAGCAGGAATTACAAGAAATGAAAAACAAAGCACCCATGCCATGGGTCGGGATCTATGTTGCAGTAGCATCTCTATTCTGTTCCGTAGCAATGGCTGTGGATGCCTTCCTTGGGTTCCGCCACAATAAACTGTGGTTTCCATACAAATTTTTCACTCTCAATGCCGCTTCTCTGACAATATTAGCTATAGCAATGAAGCTGCCCATGGATCTAAGTACCAACATGCCAGACAAAACGGATCAGTTGGCAAAACTTAGCAGCACCACTTTGATGTGTACAGCAATAGGTAATTTTATGCCTTCTTTAGGAACCATGGATGACAAAGAAATTCTAATGAACGTGACAGCCTTGGGTATTCTCGTAATCACCATTCTTGCAAATGTCTGCATCCAAATAGGCACCGGCCTATTAAGTAATTTTTTTGTGATAGAACATATTGCAGTTATGTTTTCCATGCTTGTTTTGCTTGTAATTTTGAGTTTCTCAGCTTTGACAGTACCAACCACCAAGAAATATTTGCAACAGAAATATGGTGATTTACATAAAATCACTTCAACTGAAGAATTAGAGGAAATTGGAATGGTAACTGTCCAAAAATTGAAAGATTATGTGAAAAAATATTGGATGATGGCAGAAACAGGTTGTCCTCAATTTGTGATGGCGCGTTCTGTGACATGCTCCGCTTCAGCAGTAATATGTTCTCTGACTACTGTCATTTTAGCAGAAGCAGAGCTCAGGACATACTTGTTCACATATAATCCTTACAATCTCAATTCGGATTATAAGTGGTCAATCTTGTGATTCAAACTATCGGGGTGGGAGTAGGTACAATTGCCCTGTATTTAGATGGTTCATTGCCACAAAATCCAAGTGCTCAGCAAAAAGAGGCAAGAGCTACAAAACTGAGTGGAGAACAGAGAATTACTGGATTGAAAGGATGGTAGGTTGGAGAGAGAGCCCCTTGGCTTTACACATCTGGGGCAAAAAATCCAGAAAACTTGTTCATAACACAAAGAACCTAATTCTGAACTTCTGTATTAGAGTTCAGATTGTGATTGTAACAACTAGCAAATCAGTTCTGCTCATTCATGTTTCCGCTACTGCAAGGTCTTAAAGCAGAACATCCTGTCTGAATCTATTGCTTCAAGCAATCACCCGGGATCAGAATCGGAGCCTGGTACACAACTGGGTCATAGCTGTTTTGTTCTGTAACTTGACGGTGAGGAGGAAATGCCCCTACATATCATGAAGAACATCAGCAATGCTACAGATCATTTGATTCAGATAGGCAAAAAGCAGCCGCCTAAATATCTTAAAGAGCTTTTAGGAAAATCTACTGGTTTCAAGGGGGTGGCGAAGTTTGACAGCAACCAAATTCCATCTCTGGATTCTGAAGAACCTCCTAACTGTTGGTCTCTGCCTTTGGTTACACTAACATGCATCACCATGGCACTTCCCAACATTGAAAGTCAGAAGATGGAGCGGTTACAAAGAAGCATGAATGAAAGCCTCTCGTATGTCAGCCTTGTAGAAAAAATCCTTGATTCTAAAGCTGACTTGATAAACATCAGAAATGCAGCAAAGAGTGTGTGGTTAGGAGTTGATCTTTTCAGCAAGTGGCTAGATGAAGATCTCCAAAAAATCTCTCTTGAAGGAAAAACCTCAAAGGCGACTCTAGAGAGACTTGTTGACATAGCTAAAAATATTGTCATGGAATTCAAGGCAAACATGAATGGGAAGGAAACCATTTGAACTGGCCCATCAAGGTTATTACTGCTAATTCAATGCACAGAATCAGCCAATCTTTGCTACTAGACCATGAAGGAAGCAAAGAACAGATGGATCATGAAATACTGTTCGAGCAATTATCTGTTATGATCGCGGATATCTTGGGTGCTTGCCTTACCAACTTACCGCGTGTTATAACTACGAAATGCTTTTGCAGTGCCATAGAAGAAAGGGTGAGAAGTGTCCAACATGCAGCTCATCTTCTTGGTGAAACTGAAGAGATTCTGGAAATACTTCAACAGCGTGAACTACCTAGTCTGAATCCTAATGAAGCAGTTTATATTGATGAGTGGAGGATTTCACTTTTTCATCCAGCACCAGCACATCTTCTTCTTGTCCTGGCGAGTATAATTTAGCTGTTGAGTAGCATAAGGAGGAGGCCAGCTTGAGAAAATACAGGTAGCTAGATTATAGTATAATTGAACCATATGTACTTGTGTACAAGTTTTCTTAGTTTGGATATTGTGTGAATTCTCAGCATTTTAATATGAAAAAGCTATATTGGATACAGGTATTTCTCCTGTTATAGACATGTAATATTCATATGTATCATTTGAATTTGTTGGATTCATTCATAGCCAATGTTCCTGCATGTCATAACTCAAATTTTAGTCTCCTGAGCCTGTGCTTTTTCCCAATAATCTTATTCTTAATCAACTGACCAATTTAATTTCCATTATCTCTCGACGCTTGAGTAATTTTTTTTTTCCTTATACATACACTTGTACACCCACTTTGTCTAAATGAGGACTTACCTTGACCATTTATACAACCCAAGCATACGCTTGATTATCAGTAGGTATGAGTGCTTAATTGTTCCAAACTCAATAAATAACTTGCAGCAGCCACATTTGATTAGAAAGCTGTGGATGTGAATATTAGTCTATTAATACTGAACGATATGATTTATTAGCGACTTAATTGGCCTCCCTAATTCTCAGTTAATAAACAAAATCACTGATTCAAAACAAATGACTATATAATCAAGCAGTGAATCTTGCGCACACTTGCTACAGAACTAGCACACTGCTACTAGTGTACAAAATTAAAAGTGTAAGTTTGGTCAAATCATAAAATACTCAACACACGGGCAGGGGAATTCAACCAGGAACTCTAGTTGATGGTAATATGAATGCATGACAATATTCAAGTTGAGAGGAGATATTCAGTATGTTGAATAGAAATGTATCAAATTATCATTAATGTGCAAATTATCCAACAAAAATATCGGGTTTATAGCAGATTAGTTAAAGTTGGAGATTCGAGCATGAGGTCATTGGACAAGGTTCATGCTCTGTATAGTTCTGAATTTTATCTGGGGAACTTAAAAGCTGGTTGATATAAGAAAGCAATGAAAGCTGAAAGGAATCCTCCTGGAACAAACGGAGTTGTTAGTTAAAAGGTCGGTGATGGCTAGTGGTTTGTGGCTCAATTCTTTTCAGAATATAAAGAATATTTTCCCAGCTAAAATTTCGGGTTATTTTGCCCCCTAAACGAGCAGTTCAAATTTATTAAAAATCTACATGATATGAATTTTAGTGCAGCACTTATGCACAACTATGTGATTGTATGGCTCACTCTTCTTATGAGCTTCCATGCTCAGGAGGGTTTGGAAAAATGAATTTTCTAATTCTTTTTAAAAGGAGATTAGTATTGGTTACATGCAATACATAACCTAGCTTTCAGGACCATCTAATGCATAAACTGGTCAATAATTGTTGGATAAATTGGTCAAGAAGCATTGGATTAAGAGCCACTAACCATCTGTTAACTTCCAGTGAACCTTTTGAATGATCAGACAATAATATATGCCAAACATGATTTATTTAATATATTTTATTCTAATTCATGGTTTGTTGCAATCGCTTCATTTATCAACAATGTTGGTTGATGAATTTATACATTAATTTTTCATAATTAATGTATAATACCTAAAACATTTAGTATGTGTTTTATAAGATTCAACAAATAAAATACAATTATTAGTTCATTAAGTTTCGAAGTTATATCAAGAAAAGATGCATTTGGAGAATCAAAGCCCCTCAAGTGCGTACCTGGACATGGAAATCTCTGCTGCACCTCAGACCTGTACTGTAGTCAATTGCCTTGTAAAATCAAAAATTGGGGACGGATCGATCACATCTTTCTGGTCCCATAATTGGGGACGACGGATCATCCTTGACTCGAATCGTAATCCCATTTGTTCTTTCTCTGTAATTTCAGCTCTCCTATCTAGAATTTCTTGCAAGCCAAACGCATCTATTGCACTGTTGCTACACTTATCTGCGTTTTTTTGACTTCAGCAACGGATATTTTGGTATCGAAATGGGCTAGACTGTGATGTTTTGTTTGGGCTTCCACTCCTTTGTTTGACTTTTATGGATTGGGCTGGCCTGCTGGCCTTGTTATTAACTTGCCCTAATGGGCCTCCGGTCTCTGACCCTCGTAAATTTCATACATCAATATTCTTTGCTTCAGCTATCCTGCCTCTTTCATGATCCAGTAGGTATTTACGGTGCAATTATACACCTAACGAAAATAAGTTTTTGTTAAATGATATTTTTTTGCCTTTTAAAATAGAAAGGCAGAGAGTTTAAGTTTCATATGAATAAATGAATATTTGAGTGTATTTTTTGTTAAGGTATAAAATATATATATATATATATATACACACACACGTTAATATATAGATGTATTCAAATTCGATCACAAGCTCTACTTAACATGGAGGGAAAAAAAGAAAAAGAATAAAGATTTGTGAATTTTTTGTCACGGTAAACAGGGGTGCAGTTCAATGAACTAGTAGTCAAATGATTTGATGAAAGTTGCATAAAGCCTCATTCGGCAATAAGTAATGATGATCTGTAAACCATTCCTTTTTTTTTTTTTTTTTTTTTTTTTTTATCATATCACCACTTAAACTTTTAAAAAGAAAAAATCTACACAAAAGTTAAAAAAAAAAAAAAAAAAAAAAAAATTTACTACCAAAGGCCACCTTTTTCTTTTAGTCATCTCAAAAGCTGGGGATGTGGCACAAGCGAGACCAGTCACAGCTTCTAGGGAAAAAATTAATAGTGAAGACATGCCTTAATTTACTTGGATATATATAGTAGTTCTCAGATGCTTTGAGTCAAAAAATAAATAAATAAATAAATAATAAAAAATAAAAAATGAAGATGAAGAAAAAATCCACCTTTTTCTCTCTTGAATTTATAGAGGTAAATATATATATATATATATATATATATATATATATATATATGTAGCATATTTAGATGGTTCATTGTCAGAAAATCCCTGTGCTCAGTAAAAAGAGGCAAGAGCTACAAAACCGAGTGGACAACAGAGAATTACTGGATAGGAATTTAGGCTAGAAGGATGGAGAGAGAGCTTCTTGGCTTTACCCATCCGTAGCCAAAAATGCAGTAAACTTGTTCACAACACGAAGAACCTAATTCTGAGCTTCTGTGTTGGAGTTCAAATTGTGATTGTCAGAGCTAGCAAATCAGTTCTACTCATCTCCATTTTCTTACTAAGCCCGATCGATGTTGTCATGTTTCCACTACTGCAAGGTCTTAAAGCACAAGCTCCTGTCCAAATCTAATGCCTCAAGCAGCTCATCTTCTTGGTGAAACTGAAGAGATTCTAGATATCCTTCAACAGCGTGAACTTCTTAGTCTGAATCCTGATCGATCAAGCAGCTAATATCAATGAGTGTCGTGCTTTAATGAAGAAGAAAGATCCTTTTGCCTTTACTTCTTCATTCAACAATGTTTCATCTTCTTCTGGTTCTAGTGAGTTGCATTTAGTTATTGAGTAGGAGGCCTACTTGAGAAAATACAGGCACATAATGCTACCACCGTATAATATGTACTCATGTATGAGTTTTTTTTTTTTAGATATTGTATGAACTCTTAGCATTTGAATGTGTAAAACCTATTATTAACTTGTATGTCTTAAGTTAATGTAGATTTATTCTATTCTTATACACCAAGTCATTGTTTAAATATCATACGAGTTTGCTGGATTCATAGGTTGCCCCTTCCATGCATAACGCCACTCAAATTTTAGTCATCCTAAGCAGGTAGCGATGAAAATCTTACCCGAAAGCCAATTTTACCTCCATTTTAATTCTACCGGAAGCAAAAGTACGGTATTATGTGTGATTATCAGACACAACGAATCTCTTAATTGTTCCAAGCACTACAAATGACTTACCATATGTACCGTAACACTTTTGTCTTGATAAATTTCTAATAGCAAATTAAGCAGTTCACATTCGGTTAAAATGCGTGTCATTATGAATACTCATTGGGTTTGTCAATCAATTGATCTGGACAAGAATGAATTCCAAAAGGGGAAAAATTCGAAAGAGGAATGAGTTGATAGCGATGTTGAACCCTTGAGAACTAGATTAATGGACAAGGTCACTGTTCTGTATATTTCATTTGAATTTGTTGGAATCATGCATGTTCAATTTTTGATGCATGCAACTCAAATTTTAGTGTCCTGAGCTGCTTGCTCCTAATAATATTATGCTTAACAGCCGATTTAACTTCCATTGTGTCTTGAGACTCTTGACACTTGTGTAACCTTTGTTTTTTTCATACACTCAGTACACCCACTTTGTTTAAAGAGGACTTACCTCGAACCAATTTTTTAAGAGTTAAGAGGAGATAATCCAAGCATATGCTTGATCGTCTACCTGAGTAATTAAGGACTAGTATGATGTACGGATTATCCGTGGATATGAGTCCCTTAATTGTTCCATGCTCAATGAATAACTTGCAGCAGTTCACATTTGATTAGAAAGCTGTCGATATGAACATTAGTCCACTAATATAGAAGGATATATATGATTTAACAATTTTGGCTCCCTAATTCACAGTTAAGAGACAAAATGGCCGATTCAGCATAAATGACCAGCTCACTGCTACTGGTCTACAAAATTAAAAGTGCAAGTTCGGTTGAATCATAGAATACTCAACGGACAAGACAATCCGTGTTTTTTTAGTTTAAATTTGTATATTAACAGATTGGAATTTTTTTTTTGAAAATTTTAAGGGTAATGATGAAAATATAACATTATTTATTTTAATTAATTTTTTAAAGAGGACAACTAATTTGAAATATTTTAATAAAACATCCTAATAGGATGAGATGGACTACTAATATGGGACACATGCATAAATTAAAATTAGGAGAAATTAATGGAAAATTATGGGAGAAAACAATGGAGAAAAAGCAAAACAGTTTAACAATATAGCTTATAAGAGACCGATGTCTCGATAGCCTAATGAGTTGGTGCTTTCAGTGAATTTTAGAGTGTCGGTCTTCGACTCTGCATCTATTAATCTAACATCTAACCCCTATTACCTTATAGATATATATATAATATAACTCATAAGAGAAAAATTAGGACAGAATAGAGAAGCCCACAAGGACATGTTTCCAGGTAATTTAAAAATATTTTGAATTTAAAACTCGCATGCCATTTGCTGATTCATCTTGATTTAGACAATCATCTTCTATAATCTATATATGCAATTTTCATATAATTGCATCAATTCAAAGCACCTCTTTTATTTTTCCAACCAAACTCTAATTGGACCAATTCTTCACAATTAAAAAACTAAAGGTTTTTTCTCTCCAAATTGCAATGAGAGTATATTTTATATTCAAGTAGATATTCTACAATTACAGTATCTGATAGATTAGAAGATGGAAAATAATTTTTGCACCGAATAGTTACAGTGAATTGATAAACTTATTATTTTTAATTAGTTATTTATGCAACAAATAAGGGAGTGGGTCCTCCACTTAATTGTATTTAATTAATGTAATTAATAACAATAAAAAAACTATTCAGTTATGCAATTAAGTGCAAGTATTCTGTGTGAGTATCACTACACTTAAAAGAAATTAGTGGAAAAAGATCACAAAAAATAATGGAGAGAGGTCAATGGTTCGCTTGATTAGACAAAAATTAATGATGGAAAGTAAAAGTGAAATAGAGAATTAATGTTCCAGCATGCATTTGGTTAAGTGAAATTTTTTCATGAAAGTTGTAGGAAAATATTATTTTGTCAATTTGATTGACATGAAAGTGAAAAGAAAATGATTCTGATTACCAAAATTACTCTTATGATTTCAAATGTTAAAACAATAAATGAATTTGTGTTAGATGAATCCTCTTTATACCCCGTTGTTTAAATCTATTTTTAGCGCTTAGGGAAAAAAATCTATTTTTAGCAACAAAAATACTAAAATGATGGATTATTAAAAATAATATTATAATTATTTATATCTATTTTTAAAAAAAAATTATATTTGAAGAAGGGATAATGATTTGGATTCTAAAAGTTGGGTCCGATTAACTTATGTGAGTGAGGGATGATGTCATCATGATGTCATTAATATTGTTGATGTCATGATGACATCCGCCCCTACTCACATTAAATTAATTGAAATTGTTTGAGTGTCCGACTCTTCACCATTATTATTTTTTGCTAGTTTCTATAATTATTCAATATTTGTAAAATCACATGTAAAATACTCAAATTAAGATAAGAAGAGATTAATTTTCTTTTCAATAATGTGTCTTCTAAATTATTGTTTTATATAAAAGTTTATAAATAGTTAAACACATAAAATCATCAACTAATGAGGGACATAATAGAAAAAATTGATACGCTAAACAATTGAAAAATTAGGAGAAAAAAGAGAGGAGGATAAGGACTATGTTTTCAAATCAATTTGCTTATTATCTTGATTTGGACAATCTTCCTCTATAATACATCTATGCAATTTTCATATAATTGCACCAATTAAAAATCACCACTTTCTATTGCTCCAACTAAACTTTAATTGGACCAATTCTACCGGAATATATATATTCACAATCAAAAACTTTAGTTATCTTCAGAAATGTCAGGTTTATAACGCCAGACAGCTTCCAGGAAGATTGATTGAAGTTGTTGAACCATAGGTAACATCATTTATTCTCCCTCCTCTCTCTCTCTCTCTGTATATATTATATTATCATTCACACGACAACAACTACAACCCAAGCTGTTCCATTTTTTTTTTAAAAAAAGTCCGTATGCGATGATTACTATTACTCGCTCCCCTCTCTCTCTCTCTATATATATATATACATATTATCATTCACGCGACAACAACTACAACCCAAGCTACTTACCCCAAAAAAAAAAAAAAAAAAAAAAAAAAAAAAAAAAAAAAAAAATCCTACAACCTAAGCTGTTCCAT